CTATCGGACGTATCTCTCGGTGCATGGTGGGCCCATCCAGCCTCTCTCTCTGGCCCTCGGCTCAGTATCTCCACCCGCTGCCCCATCGCCCCGACCGCTGCCTCCCTCCTCTCCTTCCTAAGCCACCGCCGCGCGGCGGCGGCGGCGCCAGGGGTGCAGGGAGGGAGGGGGAAGGGGGGCGGTCCGGGGACTTACCTACCCCTTCCTCCTCTCCCCTCCCGTGGAGAGCAGCGGCTACCATAATGGAAGGGCTTAAATGAAGAGAGACCAGCGCAATGATAGCCTCGGGGCGAAAGGGGGAAAATTATAGGGTGAGAAGGGTGGGCCGTGGAATGCAGTGTCCCTTCCACCGCCCACCCCCCGGCCCCGGCCACATATAACGTAACGACTTTATCTAACCCTCTCTCCCTACCCACGTCCATCAGGTGCGACAAGGAGAGACAATGTAAAAATTGTAATGTAAAAATATGCTTTAATAATAGAGGAATGCCTATGGCAGAGAAAAGTGGGGGGAGAGGGGGGTGGAGAGTTTCTGCTACAGCATCGAACTTATTTTCAAAGAAAAAAATAATTTGATGTTCTACGAGTACCTTTACTACGACGATCGTGAACGGATAGAATTTTCATGAATCGGGAGTACCGTTGCTCATGGCTTTGATGTTCTACGAGAGTCGTTATTGAAAAATAATGTCACATCTGCTACAGTAGTGTAAAAACCAGTACAACTCCACAGAAGTGCGAGTTTTCTACATACATGGTAAGCGGCAATCAACGATTGCAGTCGAACCTTCTTCCTTGCCACAGACTCGTCACAATCACGGTCATTCAAACGGCCATCCATCCAGTGAGCATGGAGCGGCGCCATATGAGGCACCCACCCCAGGCGCCACGGGACAGCCGGGGGAAAATTGACAAAGACAGGAGGGGGACGGGAAAAGGCGACAGCAGTCGCTCCTTTTATTTCTATCCACTCTCTCCTTCACTCCTCTCTGCCCTTGCTCTCTCT